TTGCTGCTGCTGCTATCGTTGCTGCTCCTGCTGCTGCTGCTGAAGTAAGATGAAGGGAGACACAGAGCAGCATCAAGGTCAGCACCCGGAAGCGCAAGCCCTGTTGCTTGCGACCCGAAGAAGCAGCAGCAGCAACCCGGGAATGCTGCTGCTGCTGCTAGCTGCAGCGTTGCTGCTGCTCGCAGCCGCTGCTGCTGCTCTGTTGCTGTGGGCCGCAGCAAATGCAGCAATTCATACAACTCGATGTGCAGCGCCGTGTAGAAGCAGCGCGGGCGTTGCCGCTGCTGCCGCTGCTGCTGCTGCTGCTGCTGCTGCTCCTGTTGCTTCCAAGGAGGCGGAGAAGCAGCAGCAGCAGGAGCAGCAGCAGCAGCAGAATCTCTGTGCTGTCTTTTTATATCTCTCTCATCGAAGGAAGGAAAATCAGAGACTGACAGCCACGCATCATCTTGTGCTGCTGCTGCTGCTGGTGAGGCATCTGCTGCTGCTGCTGCTGCTGCTGCTGGCTTTGGTGATTCTTCCGTTCCTGCTGCTGCTGCTGCTGCTGCTGCTGCTACCGTAGGGGAGGCTGCCGCCCTCCTTTGCTGTCGGGCAGCAAGCGACTGCTGCAAACAAAACAACAAAGCGCAGCAGCAAGAACCGATCAGCAGGCGCAGCAGCAACAGCAGCAGCAGCAGCAGCAACATAAGCAGGAGCAGCAGCAGCAGCAGCAGCACAACTTGCCTTTATATTCTTTGTGAATTCTGTGTGGCGCTGAGGTGTATAGGCAGCATCCAGCAAATATGCTTCGGGCCCCAAATCCTCCAACGTCCACCCGGCCTTCCCGCTGCTGCTGCTGCTGCTAGTGCTGCCATTGATGCTGCTGCTGCTGCTGCTGCTGCTGCTGCTAGTGCTGCCATTGATGCTGCTGCTGCTGTCGCCGCTCTCGTCGGCTTTGCTGCTGCTGCTGTTGTTGCTGCCGCTGCTGTTGCTGCCGCTCGTCACCAGGAGAGGAGCATCCTCAGCATGCATGTCCTGGTTGCTGCTGCTGCTGCTGCTGCTGTTGCTGCTGCTGGTGTTGCTGATGGTGCTACCCCTGCTGCTGCTGCCGCTGCTGCAAGAAGCAGCTTCCCCAAGGGGACTGACCATCGGCAGGCGAAGTTAAGCTGCAGTCATGCGCTGCTGCTGTTGCTGCTGCTGCTGTTGTTGGTGCCGCTGCTGTTCATGCTGCTGCTGCTGCTGCTGCGGATCCTCTCCGCCCACGCTGCTGCAGCTACTCTTCTGCTAGTGCTGTTGCTGCTACTTCTCATGCTGCTGCTGCAGCTGCTGCTGTACATGCTACTTAGGTGCTGGCACTGATTGCAGCGGTATATCGCTAAGCAGCAGCTGCTGCTGCTGCTGTTGCTGCTGTTGCTGCTGCTGCTGCTGCAGCTATTGCCTCCGTTGGAGCTAGTGCTGCAGCGGTCGCTGCGCCATAGAAGCCTTGGTTACCGCAGCAGCAAACCTCTGCTGCTCAGCAGCAGCAGCAGCTGCTGCTGCTGCTGCTGCCGACGGCAGATTCCCCCTATTGGGGCTGCTGCTGCGCTGCAGCAAAATGAAATCTGCTGCTGCTAGAGGAGCAGCAGGAAGGCACTTATATTATTTTATTTATTTTTTATTTAAATTAATAAACAAATTAAAAAGATTATATATTTTATCTCTTCTTACCTGCTGCATGCATGCAAGACGCAGGACCTGAACATACAGTCCCGCTGCTGCTGCTGCTGCTGCTGCTGCTGCTGCTGCTGCAGGCTGTCTTCTTGCTGCTGCAAAAACAGCAGCAAGAGGACAGGTGTTGACTCGCTTGGGTTTATCTGTTGCTGCTGTCTGCGCTAGTGCCCTTCAAACACGGTGTAGGGTTTAGGGTTTACGGACTAGGGTTTAGGGTTTAGGGTTTAGGGTTTAGGGTTTAGGGTTTAGGGTTTAGGCTGAGACATTCAAACAGGCCAACTGGGGAGAAGAGATAGAGCGAGGAAGAAAGGGTTTAGGGTTTAGGGTTTAGGGTTTAGGGTTTAGGGTTTAGGGTTTAGGGTTTAAAACAAAGCAACGAAGAAGACAAGAAGAGACTGACAGCTAACAAACAAAGACGGAGAAAAAGAAGGTGAAAACAACAAAAACAAACAAAAATAAACAAAAATAAACAAAAAGAGAGACAGAGACAGAGACAGAGACAGACAAAGAAGAGACAGAGAGACAGAGAGACAGAGACAGAGAGACAGAGACAGAGACAGAGAGACAGAGACAGAGACAGAGACAGATAAGAAGAAGGACAGAGACAGAGACGAACAGAGAGAGACAGACAGACAGACAGAGACAGATAAGAAGAAAGACAGAGACAGAGACGGAGACAGAGACAGAGACAGCAAAAGACAAAAAGAGAGACGAAGACAAACAGAGACAGAGATAAAGAGAGACAAAGACAGAGACACATAGAGAGACAGAGACAGATAAAGAGACAGGGAGAGAGACAGATACAAACAAACAT